TTGAAAACTGAGGTGTGCATTAGATTAAATAAGACTTTTAAACCAAGAACAGAATGTGTTGTCGAAGGCTTTCATGGCCGGAATCACTGGGTTGCTGTGAGTTTTCCAGGCTGTATGGCTATGTTGCAGAAGCATTCTCTCCTGAAGTTTCACCCACATCTATGGCAGGCATCCTCAGAGGTTGTGAGTTGCAACATTCACACTTGCCTCAAACAGACAAGAGTTTTTTCTCCCACTCTGGACATTCCACAGATATATAAACTCCCCCACTTGCCTAGTTTCCTCACAACCTCTGAGGATTTATTTATTTATTTATTCATTTATCATGTCATCCGCAACCAGAACATTGTATTACATTTCTAACAGAACAAAAAAAACAAACAGATTTTTTAAAAAAAACACAAATTTTGGAAACTTGGTAGCTGATTAAATGTCCTTTGACCAGTATCTGGCCACTTGGAGTGCCTCTGGTGTTGCCGCAAGAAGGTCCTCCATCGTGCATGTGGCAGGGCTCAGGGTGCATTGCAGCAGGTGGTCTGTGGTTTGCTCTTCTCCACACTCGCATGTCATGGATTTGACTTTGTAGCCCTATTTCTTAAGATTGGCTCTGCATCTCGTGGTGCCAGAGCGCAGTCTGTTCAGCGCCTTCCAAGTTGCCCAGTCTTCTGTGTGCCCGGGGGGGAGTCTCTCATCTGGTATCACCCACGGATTGAGGTGCTGGATTTGGGCCTGCCACTTTTGAACTCTCGCTTGCTGAGGTGTTCCAGCATGCGTCTCTGTAGATCTAAGAAAATTATTTCTTGATTTGAGTCATTGACGTGCTGGCTGATACCCAAACAAGGGATGAGCTGGAAATGTCTCTGCCTTGGTCCTTTCACTATTGGCTGCAACTTCCCGGAGGATGTCAGGTGGTGCAATACCGGCTAAGCAGTGTAATTTCTCCAGTGGAGTAGGGCGGAGACACCCTGTGATAATGCGGCATGTCTCATTAAGAGCCACATCCACTGTTTTAGTGTGGTGAGATGTGTTCCACACTGGGCATGCGTACTCAGCAGCAGAGTAGCATAGCACAAGGGCAGATGTCTTCCCTGTGTCTGGTTGTGATCCCCAGGTTATGCCAGTCAGCTTTCGTATGATATTGTTTCTAGCACCCGCTTTTTGTTTGATGTTCAGGCAGTGCTTCTTGTAGGTCAGAGAACAGTCCAGAGTGACTCCCAGGTATTTGGGTGCGCTGCAATGCTCCAGTGGGATTCCTTCCCAGGTAATCCTCAGAACTTGGGATGCTCTCCAAAGCTCTAGGTGCTCTAACCTCTGAGGATGCCTGTCATAGATGTGGGCGAAACGTCAAGAGAAAATGCTTCTGGACAGCACGGAATACTCAAAGCAACCCAGTGATTCCAGCCACAAAAGCCTTCAACAACACATTCCGTTATTTCCTGTTTAGTCGTGTGGTACTTACCTTGAAAGCAGCTGTTATACTCCAGAAATGTCATTTTTGTGGCAGCCACAAACTCCCCATATTTACCCGAATCTAATGCGCCATCGAATCTAATGCGCACCCCAGTTTTCAAAACCCCGAAACCAGAGGTTTTAGCTCTTCTCAGGAAGGTTACAAAAAGGTTATGATCATTCCAAATGGTAGTGAATGCCAATTAATCTCCAAAAGGTCACATTTCCAAAAGGCTTTGGAGAGTCTGGTTTTCGAAAAGGTTATGATCTCAAAAGTCATCCTTTCCCAACAACAACAACAGGATGAATGGAGCTGGACCCCACTTGCACTGCCCTGGCTCAATGCTATGGAATCGAAGGAGATACAGTTGGGTGAGGCACTAGCCCTCTATGGCCAGGGTGGCTCAAGACCAGGCATGGGCAAACTTGGACCCTCCCTGTGTTTTGGACTTCAACTCCCACCATTCCTCACAGCCTCAGGCCCCTTCCTTTCTCCCCTCAGCCACTTAACTCTAAAATCAGGACAGTAAATAAAGAGCAACACTCAGAAAACAGGGAAATTCCAGACAGGAAACAATCAGGACCAGCTAACATCTCCCAACAAAGGATTTCCCCAGGCAGGAAGCAGCCAGGGTTTGATGCTGCAAGGCTATCCACTGCTAATCAAGCTGGACAGTTTCAACATTCACACTTGCCTCAAGCAGACAAGAGTTCTTTCTCCCACCCTGGACATTCCACAGATATGTAAACCCCACTTGCCTAGTTTCCAACAGACCTCACAACCTCTGAGGATGCCTGCTATAGATGTGGGTGAAATGTCAGGAGAGAATGCTGCTGGGACATGGCCATACTGCCCGGAAAACTCACAGCAACCCAGCGATTTTGGATATGAAAGCCTTCGACAACACTCTGGACATCTTAATGCAGTGTTTCCCAACCTTCCTCATAATGCAGTTCCTCATGTTGTGGTGACCCCCAACCATAAAATTATTTTCGTTGCTACTTCATAATTTTACTACTGTTATGAATCGTCATGTAAATATCTGATATGCAGGATGTATTTTCATTCACTGGTCCAAATATGGAACAAATATCCGATATGCCCAAATTTGAATACTAGTGGGGTTGGGGTGGATTGATTTTGTCATTTGGGAGTTGTAGTTGCTGGGATTTATCGTTCACCTACAATCAAAGAGCATTCTGACCTCCATCAATAATGGGATTGAACCAAACTTGGCACATAAAACTCCCATGAACAACAAAAAATACTGGAAAGGTTTGGTGGGCACTGACCTTGAGTTTGGGAGTTGTAGTTCACCTACATCACCGTGGACTCAAACAATGATGGATCTGGACCAAACTTGGCACAAATACTCAATATGCCCAAATGTGAATACTCGTGGATTTTGGGGGGAAAATAGATCTTGACAATAGGGAGTTGTAGTTGCTGGGATTTATAGTTCACTTACAATCAAAGATCATTCTTAACTCCACCAATGATAGAATTGAACCAAACTTGGCACATAAAACTCCCATGACCAACAAAAAATACTGGCAACTGACCTTGAGTTTGGGAGTTGTAGTTCACCTACATCCAGAGAGCACAGTGTACTCAAAAAAAGATGGATCTGGACCAAACTTGGCATGAATACTCAGTATGCCCAAATGTGAATATTGGTGGAGTTTGGGGAAAATAGAATCTTGACCTTTGGGAGTTGTAGTTGCTGGGATTTATAGTTCACCTACAATCAAAGAGCATTCTGAACATCAATGATGAGATTGAACCAAACTTGGCACTCAGAACTCCCATGACTAATAAAAAATACTGGAAATGTTTGGTGGGCATTGACCTTGAGTTTGGGAGTTGTAGTTCACCTACATCCAGAGAGCATAGTGGACTCAACCTTGGCATGAATACTCAATATAATCCAAACTGGTGGAGTTTGGAAGAAAATAGACCTTGACATTTGGAGCTTGTAGTTGCTGGGATTTATAGTTCACCTACAATCAAAGAGCATTGCGAACTCCACCAATGATGGGACTGAACCAAACTTGGCACATAGAACTCCCATGGCCAACAAAAAATACTAGAAACGTTTGTTGAGCACTGACCTTGAGTTTTGGAGTTGTAGTTCACCTACATCACAGTGGACTCAAACAATGATGGATCTGGACCAAACTTGGCACAAATACTCAATATGCCCAAATGTGAATACTCGTAGAGTTTGGGGGAAAATAGACCTTGACATTTGGGAGTTGTAGTTGCCGGGATTTATAGTTCACCTACAATCAAAGAACAATCTGAACTCCACCAATGATGGGATTGAACCAAACTTGGCACATAGAACTCCAATGACCAACAAAAAATACTGGAAAGGTTTGGAGGGCATTGACCTTGAGTTTGGGAGTTGTAGTTCACTACATCCAGAGAGCACAGTGGACTCAAACTTGGCATGAAAACTCAATATGCCCAAATGTGAATCCTGGTGGAGTTTGGGGAAAATAGACCTTGACATTTGGGTGTTGTAGTTGCTGGAATTTATAGTTCACTTACAATCAAAGAGCATTGTGAACTCCACCAATGATGGGATTGAACCAAACTTGGCACATAGAACTCCCATGACCAACAAAAAATACTGGAAAGGTTTGGTGGGCATTGACCTTGAGTTTGGGAGTTGTAGTTCATCTACATCCAGCGAGCACAGTGGACTCAAAGAAAGATGGATCTGGACCAAACTTGGCATGAATACTCAGTATGCCCAAATGTGAACACTGGTGGAGTTTGGGAGAAAACAGACCTTGGCATTTGGGAGTTGTAGTTGCTGGGATTTATAGTTCACTTACAATCAAAGAGCATTCTGAACAACACCAATGATGGGATTGAACCAAACTTGGCACTCAGAACTCCCACTGGAAATGTTTGGTGGGCAATGACCTTGAGTTTGGGAGTTGTAGTTCACCTCCATCCAGAGAGCACAGTGGACTCAAACAATGATGGATCTGGACCAAACTTGCCATGAATACTCAATATGCCCAAATGTGAATATTGGTGGAGTTTGGGGAAAATAGACCTTGATATTTAGGAGTTGTAGCATTCTGAACTCCACCAGTGATGGGATTGAACCAAACTTCCCATACAGAAGCCCCATGGCCAACAGAAAAGACAGTGTTTTCTGATGGCCTTTGGTGACCCTTCTGACACCCCCTCATGACTCCCCCCCCCCTGGGGTCCAGACCCCCAGGTTGAGAAACACTGTCTGAATGATTTCAGGGCAGTTCAAGTGGGGTCAAAGTGCATTGACTCTACAATGAAGATGCTCTCGAGATAAAGCCTGGAAGTTTTCATTTCCACTTGAGAGCAACTCCCAGGAAGTGGGATGACTCAACCCAGACCAAGTGTGGCTAGGCGGAGTGAAAACAAAACCAATCTGAACGCGGTTGAGGCTTTCAAGCCCGCCTGATCCAGATCAAGCAGAATGCAGAGCCTCAGCGCTTGGGTTCAAGTGATAAGCGGTGCCAAGCTCCACAGAGTAGAGACAGAGAGGACCTACCATGCCATTGGAGGCGTTGAGGAGGCAGGTGACGGCCAGGAGCAGCCAGCGCCGTTTGTACACCTTGAAAGGCGCCGCCTCGCCCTCGCTGCTCTCGGGGGCCACCTCCGCGTCCATCCCGAGAGGAGAGCCAGTGGATCTCCGGACGGAAGGGCAGGCATGGAGAGGAGATCCCCGGGCTGAGCCCGCCCCCGCCCTCTCCGATTGGGCGATGCCCCGAAAGCCGGCTTCCCTCGCAAAGAGGAAAACACAGGCAGGCCACCAAGTTCCTGGTTCGGGGCCGCGCCCGACCTCCGCTGGGTCCTAGCGCCGCTTGGGTTCACCTCCCTCCTCCGTCCTTCTGGAGGCACACTACAAGGAATGTAGTTTAGCAACACTTCAATTGCTGGAAGAAACATTAACAAACTTAGATATGCAGATGATACCACTTTGATGGCCGAAAGCAAGGAAGAGGTAAGGAGCCTTCTAACCAAGGTGAAAGAAGAAAGTGCAAAAGCTGGGTTGCAGTTAAACAAACAAACAAAAGAAAACAGAGATATATTGTCGAAGGCTTTCATGGCTGGAATCACTAGGTTCTTGTGGGTTTTTTCGGGCTATAGGGCCATGTTCTAGAGCAGTGTTTCTCAACCTGGGGGTCGGGACCCCTGGAGGGGTCGCGAGGGGGTATCAGAGGGGTCACCAAAGACCACCAGAAAACACTGTATTTTCTGTTGGTCATGGAGGTTCTGTGTGGGAAGTTTGGCCCAATTCAATCCTTGGTAGGGTTCGAATGCTCTTTGATTGTAGGTGAACTATAAATCCAAGCAACTACAACTCCCAAATGTCAAGATCTATTTCCCCTAAACTCTACTACTGTTTACATTTGGGCATACTGAGAATTCGTGCCAAGTTTGGTCCAGATCTATCATTGTTTGAGTCCACTGTGCTCTCTGGATGTAGGTGAACTACAACTCCCAAACTCAAGGTCAATGCCCACTAAACCCTTCTAGTGTTTTCTGTTGGTCATGACTCATGGGAGTCCTGTGTGCAACGTTTGGTTCAATTCCATCATTGGTGGAGTTCAGAATGCTCTTTGATTGTAGGTGAACTATAAATCCCAGCAACTACAACTCCTAAATGACAAATTCGATTTTTTGAGTGATGGTCATCCTTGGGTTAGTAGGTGTCTTGTGGCCAAATTTGGCAGCAATTCATTGAGTGGTTTTTGAGTTCTGTTAATCCCACAAACGAACATTACATTTTTATTTATATAGACTAGCCACCCCCTGCCACACGTTGCTGTGACCCAGTCTGATGATCTGGGAAATAAAGTAATGAGAAAGTGTTGGTTTCTAATATATGTAATGTCTTGATGCTTGTGAGTAAACAGTATTTCTTGTTGTTTCTTTGCCAGTGTTGATGTGGAGAGTGTCTGGTTTGCCTACTCTGTAAAATGCAACATATTATTGTGCTTCTTTAGGAGTCCCTTTGAAATCTATGATATTATATCTGTCATATGCATATGTGTGTGTGTGTGTGTGAATCGGATCTATCTATTTCTATGGCTGGATGGCTCTTTGTCAGGAGGGCTTTGATTTTGTTCTCCTGCTCTGGTGAAGGGAGTTGGACTGGATGGCCTTAAGACAGCATTTCTCAACCTAGGGGTTTTGACCTGGGGGCGGGGGGGGGGGGGATTGTGAGGAGGTGTCAGAAGGGTCACCAAAGACCATCAGAAAAAACATTATTTCCTGTTGGTGATGGGGGTTCTGTGTGGGAGGTTTGGCCCAATTCTATCATTGGTGGGGTTCAGAATGCTCTTTGATTGTAGGTGAACTATAAATCCCAGCAACAACAACTCCTCCTCCTCCTCCTCCTCCTCTTCTTCTTCTTCTTGTTAAGCCTTGGCAGTTAAAATAGTGTCAAACTGCTTTAACTCTACAGAAGTAATTCCCAACCTTTTTTTTTTAACCAGGGTCTACTTTCCAACATTAGTATCAAAAGGGTTATGAATCAGATTTTGGTCAATTTTAGATTCAGTTTGGTTATTTATGGTGCTGATTCAGAAAATTGCATTGGATAGACCACATCAGCTCTAGTTTCTTGTAGAGAACATATGTCATCCAGTACTCATCATCTGCTCACCCACAGAAAACCATATTTAGTAATTTAGAGCTGATGTGGCAGTAGTAATCCTTTGTGGATAGTCAGCCTCTCCTCTCCTGACATCCCCGTTGCCTCAGCATTATAAGAGGCTTTCGCATGATCAGTCACTCTTGTTGCCACATGGTTTCGAGGCAATTGTGTAGTAATAGTGAGTCCGCGGACCATATTTTCATTCTTGGGGACCACTGGTGGTCCACAGACCATAGGTTAGGAACCACTGCTCTACAGCAGTGTTTCCTAAAAAAAAAAAGTGTGAGATATCATGTATAAGGTGCCACTCAACTTATGATATTGGAGCCCCTTCCTCCCAAAGTGTTGTTTTGCTTTCAGTGGCCAATGATGCCCATACTAGTTGAAGATGATGGCAGGTGCAACCCAAAAAATGTTGTGAAATGCTACACTTGAGCATTTCCCCTTTTTCATCCACTTTAAATGCTGTGACTGCCTCCTGCAGAATTCGGGGGCTTCTGGTTTAGGGAGAACTTCTCTGGATGAGCAGCTTAAAGGCCCCTCCCTAAACTAGAAACTTTAGCATTCTGCAGAAGGCAGTCACAGCATTTAAAGTGGATTAAAGTGGGGAAATGCTCAAAATCGGTGAGGTCCCTAGGAAAGGATGGTGTCAGAGGTACTGGTATTAAATAAAGGAGTGTGCGGATGATGGCATTGCACACTTTTCTGTCTCTCTTATTTTGCAATGGTGGCATATACTCAAAATGATACAGCCTGATTGATTTTATTATTATGTATTACCCTCATTGGACACACCTTTATTGCAACAGTTAGATTATTAACTAACTCCACTGGCTGCCGATCAGCTTCCAAGCACAATTCAAGTGCTGGTTTTAATTTTTAAAGCCCTAAACGGTTCTGTCCCAGACTACCTGTCCCAACATATCTCATCCCATAAACCATCACGAAGTTTAAGATCTTCAAAAATGGTCCTGCTCTCGATCCCAACATTATCGCAAATGCGGTTGCTGGGGACGAGAGACAGGGCCTTCTCAGCAGTGGCCCCCCGTCTGTGGAAATCTCTCCCCAGGGACATCAGGTTGGCAACCTCCTCCTGTCCTTTAGAAGACAAGTGAAGACTTAGCTCTGGGACCAGGCATTTGATTAATCGGATAGCGGCAATTGGAAAAAAGACTTATGATATTTATGACATTGAATCTGCCTAGACTTGGATTTGGTTTTACCAGCATGTATAACCTACTGCCTAATTAATTGGATAATGTGTTTTAATGATTTTTAACATTTTAATGGTTTTCAATGCTTTAATTCTACTTCGAATTGACAGCATTGTATGGTGCTGGTGTGAGACTGCCCTGAATCTCCCTTCGGGGGGAGAAGGGCAGGGTAAAAGTGCATTAAATAAATAAATAAATATTAATTATAAGAACTTGCGTGTGCAATTAATTTTTTTCCTTCAGTCCCCAATTTGGCCTGTATCAAAAGGAGTTTAGTGTCCAGATGAGATCAAGGGAAGTCATGGTGCCCCTCTATTCTGCTTTGGCCAGACCTCACCTGGAATACTGTGTCCAATTTTGGGCACCATGGTTCAAATGAGGTATTAACAAGCTGGAAGGTGTCCAGAGGAGGGGACTAAAATGATCAAAGGTCTGGAGACCATGTCCTATGAGGAGCAGCTTCAAGAGTTGGGAATGTCTAGCTTGCAGAAGAGAAGGTCCAGACATGATAGCCATGTTTAAAAATTTGAAAGGCCATAAGGAAAAGGGAGCAGGCTTGTTTCTGCTACCTTTGAAACTAGAACTCAGAGCAATGGGTTCATATGACAGAAAAGGAAATTCCACCTGAATATCTCTTGACTGTGAGAGCTGTCCAACATTAGAATTCTGCCTTGGAATGTGGTGGAGGCTTTTAAACAGAGGCAAGATGTCCATCTGTCAGGTGTGCTTTGATTGTGCCTTTCCTGTATGGCAGGGGGTTGGACTGGATGGCCCATGTGGTCTTTTTCAATTGCATTATTCTATGATTTTACCCGAGTCTACAACTGCCATATAATGTAGTTCAATGCAGTTAAACTGCATTATGAGACTGCATTATATGGCATGTAGATGAGGCTTTTATCACCCTGTCACATTGATATTGAGCAGAGGGGAACATGACAGAGAGCTCCAAAATTTTCCTAAAGCGATACAGTCCATTCTACCAAGCTCCAGCTTTACTCCCCTTCCTCCCAATTAAATGCTGTGCCCAATGCATTGCTTAATAGGTTTCCTCCTCTGCAGTCTCCTGGCTTAAATAAAGATGGCACTGGCTAGACTCTAAGACGGGCAACAGATGGAATGGAAGCATGAGGTTCATTCCCACACTTTTCTGTCTCTCCTATTTTGCAACAGTGGCATATATTCATGATGATACAGTCTGGGTTATATATTATTAATGCCCCTAATTTATTTCACAGTTGGATATTAAATGGTAACCCTATATGTTAATACTCACTAGAAAAGACAATAATGCTTGGTAAGGTGGTGGAGGCAGGAGAAAAAGAGACAGAGCGCATTAGAATCATGGAGTTGGAAGAGACCTCGTGGGCCATCCAGTCCAACCCCCTGCCAAGAAGCAGGAAAATCTATTCAAAGCACCCCCGACAGATGGCCATCCAGCTTTTGTTTAAAAGCCTCCAAAGAAGGAGCCTCTACCACACTCTGTGGCAGAGAGTACCACCACTGAACAGCTCCCACAGTCAGGAAGTTCTTCCTGATGTTCAGATGGAATCTCCTTTCTTGTAGTTTGAAGCCATTGCTCGGCATCCTAGACTCCAGGGCAGCAGAAAACAAGCTTGCTCCCTCTTCCCTATGACTTCCTTTTGACAGCGAGTGCTGAGACCCCTGCCTTCAAATTGATCTGACCGCATCAGGGAGTTTCACAGTTCCTGGGAGCATGAGTTTTCAAGTATCCACAGGACAGTGGCACCAGCAACAGCCTCAACAAAGAACTCTCTTTTCCCCTCCCTACTAACTTCCCATAGCCTCTTTGTAACAATCCCCCAATAAAAGTATCATTTTCTTCAACTTTTTCATCCCTGAAGTGAAACATGGTGTCCTTTACTCACTCCAACTATAAACTTTCCCTCTCCCAAGCCACGGAGCTCTGCTGGCTCAGCCAGGATG